ATTTTTATTTTTAAAATTTGTTTATTTAATTAATACAAATGAAAGCCTTTATTATACAACTATTTCGGGAACTATTCTAGTTAAATGTATTCAGGTATATAGATATGTATATCGTCATAGCCAATTTGTTAGCTTAGCTCTTGGCCAAAGAGAGCGTGCTGGCCACGCTTACGCAATCGGTGCGTTGGCTTTGGTCCAGCGAGTCCAATGAAGGGGACATAGCCTCATCTGGTCTCAGTTCCTGGCTGAGTGCATATGTGTTGTAGCAGAGCACCAGTCGGGTATTCAATCCCTCGAATATGCTGGCCACACTGGGCTTCAGATTGAAGAATATAATCTTCTGCTGTCTGGAGCGGAAGTCGGCGACCATTGAGGAGATGACTTTGGCGGCGGTAAAGTCGGCTGCATAGATATATGTGCAGTCGATGACGATGGGCAGTGAGCTGCGGCTGCCCGACTTGATGACCATATTGCGCACGAACTCAACCGAGGGAAAGATCAGGCAGCGATCGGGCGTGATTTTGAGAAACTGAACGCCATGCTCCGTTTCCAGCTGCTCTACCAGGACCTTGGGCCGTGCCGAGTGATAAAGTATGAAGAGCTGATTGGCTGCAATGGCCACCAGAATGCCAATCTCCAAGGGCAGCACCAGGCACGTGATAAAGGCAAAAATACCGGGCAACAGATCGGAGCCTAAAACGAGGGAAGTGCTGGAGTAGGAGGAGAAGAGGAAATTAATGATTGTTCTCGCTTACGTTTACTGCGCCACATGGGTATTACGATCTGGTATTGTACTTGGAATATGACCGCCGATATAAGTATGGCCGCCAGCACAGCTCGCGGTATAAAGCTAAAGTATTCGGTGAGAAAGCTGAGAGCGAGCACTACGACAAGACCAATATAGAAATTGGACATGCTGGTGCGACAGCCGCTGGCATTGTTGATGGCCGAGCGGGCCAGGCCGCTGTTGCTGCGATAGCCGGAGAAGAGGGAATTGGCTATGTTGGCCATGCCCGTGGCGAATATCTCCTGGGTCATGTCGATGGGTTTGCCCTTGGCAAAGGCCTTACACACCGATGCATTCTCGAGCAGAGCTATCAGCGGCACTATAATCAAGCCATAACCCAAGCCCTGCACCATCTCGAGGAAAGTTTCACCCGCTACAGGTGGAATACCGGCTGTGGCGTTGCCAGGCTGTGGCTCAATTGAGAAGGGTGGCAATGCCAGAGTTGGCATCCCAGGCGGTATATAGCCCGTCAACTGAAAGGGATTCCTGCCAGACATTTCCAGCTGCATGGCTATCACCGTGGTGACCAGCACCACAGTTGCATTCCTCGAGATGCCCACAAAGCGAATGAGATGGTTAACAATGCGCTGGCAGCGACTACGCTGCTTTTGGTCCTTCGGTCCAATGGTCATCCTGCCCAGGCTGCGCATGATCAGGAGTATGACGACGCAGCCAACACCTAAGCAGCTATCGGCTAAGCGTATATCGCCAATGTTCTGTATCATGCTAATCCAGCGCTGCAGAAACGAAACTCCATCGCTGTTCACGCCCAGAATGTACTTCATTTGCGAGGTGCATACGATTAGCGCCACGGCGCTGGTGAAGCCCGCACTCACCGGACCCGACACAAACTCCACCAGGGAGCCCAGCTTAAAGAGCGCCATCAGCAGCTCAATGCAGCCCGTGAGAAAGGTCAGCAGCACCGAGCGCTGCCACGAGCCCTTGGCGAACTGGTACGTCATCAGCGAGGCGACAGCTGTGCTGCCAATGGTACAGTCCTTGCAGGTGCCCAGCAGCACGTACATAAAGCAGCCCATGAACGAGCCATACAAGCCGTACTGAAAAGGGAATTCGTTAGGGAAGAGTTATAAGATGAAGAAAAATGTTGAATACGGAGAATTCTCAGTTGAAGCAGTCCAATAAGAGTTGCAAACGATTGCATTGAAAACAAAAGCTATCAGTAGGATTCTTCAAACTTCGTTTTCCTGTATGTAATATATTTTTTATTGTCCTAATTAACTAATTTTTATTTTATTTAATTTT